TTAAGCTAGAACCGGTCCTGGCATCAACTACTCTCCAGCTGTAATCACAAAACATTGTAACCACAGTAACGTAACAAATCTGGGGGACCATTGATGTGCCATTTGAAAAGGTTATTCGGCTGCACTTTCCATGCAGATGCCACTCCAAATGCCAACCACATGCTCATAATCAAACCAAACATGACACACACTCCTCGATACGGACGGGACGTGGTCATTGCCATTGCCTAATTAAAATAGCAAATCACCAGCAACGTTCTGACAACAACAAGAACAACAACAGCGGGAAGAGCTAAAACAAAAACAACGACAACAGCGGTCAAACAACATGCGATTGAAATGCAAATTTATGCGTCGCTGGCAAAAACAAACGAAAAATACCCAAAGAATTCAGCGGGCAGACCAAAAACTAAGCGTCAAAATTATGCAGAACACATGCAGACACGCAGCAGCTTACACCCCCTCACGCACACACGCCCATGCACACACATGTACACACATGCACACACATACAAACAAACATGCATACAAAGCTTGCACACGCACACACGCACTACACAATGGCTACCAAAGGCGTTCTGACAAACCAAAATACCTCTCGTTTAGATACTCGGATGACGAAAGGATAATCCGACATATTCGATTGTTTGTTCGATAGTACCGATGTATCTTATACATCGCTTTTTAATTAATATGTGCAAATTTAAGAATTTAACAAATTAAAGTCACAAATAATTTCGTTTTTATGTTCCAATGGGATGACTGACAAACATCCAACTAGGAAATATAATAAGGCAATATTATTATTTTTATTTTCTTCAAAACAAGGATTGAAAAAAAAAAGATAATTTATATAATAATAAGATAATTTTAAATATTCGACAAATTGTTTGTTCCATAGTACCAATTTTATACATCGCATTTAATACAAATTTAAGACGTTAACAAATTAAAGTGAAAGATAATTTTGTGTTCCAATGGGATGACTGACAAACATCCCACTAGGAAATATAATAACGCAATATTATTAATTATTATTATTATTATTTTCTTCAAAACAAGGATTTAAAAAAAAAGAAAACAACAATAAAGAATAATCGGCGCCATTTCAACACATTTATACTATATTGCTTGATTTCTTGCATTTGTGGCATAAGTGTCTCATTAAATCTGTCAAAATACTTCCGCCACCGAGTGTTGATTCAACATGTCGTTTGGACAGGATAAGCAAAGCAACATTGGCGTCCATTTTACAGTGCCCGCTCCCATGGCTTCCATCTATGATAAATTCGTTGGCTGCGCTGCACTTGGCCAGATAGCAAATAAATTTAAATTTGATTAACGATTTGCCATTTTTGGCGTCCATTTGTCGCATCTCTAAATTGATTGGTTTGGTTTGCATTTCACGTCCTTCGCCAATGCACGTTGCAAGTTTTTCACTTGTCGGCAATTAATTTTCATCTCATGCGTTTGCCGACATTGGGTTTTGTTGCGCTTCATTAATTTGTTTGCTCGCTGCCTGCTTGGGCAGAGGGGAAGGGGAGCCAGCTGTCTATTTACTTGCAGATTTATGCAGTAGATTGAATGTTTACTTCCAATCGCAGCAGTGGACACAAAACTATCAAATTACGTGCGCGGTGCCTTATTAACGTTTATTATCCTCGTCAGGAGCGTGCAATAGTGTTAGGGCCTTTGTTTACTCGCTGTCTTTCTGTGTGCGTGTGTGTGTGTGTGTGTGCGTGCGTGCGTGCGTGTGTGCGTAGTACGAGCTTAATGCTCTTGTTCATGTTGTTGCAGGCTAGCAACAATATTCTTGAGTGCCATTGCAACTGCTCGCAGGTAATTGCAAACACAAACACACAATGCCCATCAAGAAATGGAGCTTGCAGTGCTGTTAAGTAATTGAAGAGCCAGTGCGTAAGGAATAGATACAATTAAATTAGTTTGCTTGTCGATCTGCCACTTCAAGCCATTTATTGTTTACTCTTAATACTAGTATATTTTTGTCAAAGCAGTGGTTTCTAATTCCTTATGTTGGTTTATAGTTTTCTTCATTTACCCTTTTTTTTAGGACCATTGAAAAACTACTCGTTAATAAACGTTCGTTAAAATTTGGCACTACTTAATATATTTGTTCGATTATTTTCACTTTATTTTGTAATTTTTAGTTTTATTTCATGTAATTTAGTTTTTGATGTATATATTTTAATCCTTTTATGTTTTGGTCAGAGCAGAATTTTGAAAGTTTTTTAAAATACAATTTTTCTCTCTGTTGATTTATTTTTAGCACAAAACATTTCTCTCCAAGTGCAGAGAAACTTTAGAGGACTTTGTTTTATTCGATTACTAAAAACAAATTGTTAAAAGTTAATTGAGGAAACATCTTTATGGCGTTCTCTTGGCAGGGCAGAGATTTCTTAAAAAAAGGCCATATATTACTATGAATTCGAATTAAAGTTATTTTCTCGAATTGTAGAGTTATGTGTTTTCATTCTTAATTAAATAACAATAAAACTACATACTGACATGAAAGTAGAATGTATGTATACAGTTAAATATGCTTATTTATAATTACAAATTTTAAAACTAATGTCAATGTGTTGCTTCCCTAATTTCTGGCGGCACTAATTTGCAAATATTGGTCAATGCATTTGAATTGCAATTTGTCAACCGGAATCTGGCTGAATCCCATTAGTAACACACAGGAGCGTTCAACTTACTAAAGTTGTTGTTGTTGCTTTTGTTGTTTACTCGTCGTCAGCGTCACACACATGTGCCCCATAAAAGTTTACCACAAAACTCAACAACTTTTTGGCACTCTATGTGTGAGTGTGTTCGTATATTTGTTTGTGTGTGTGTGTGTGTTGTGCCGTTGGCACATGAGTAATTTATTGTGTATCTAATTAATTATTGCTGTCTACAAAAATTGTGTGTGTATTTGCCTGTATCAGTGTCTGCGTCTGCGTCTGTGTGTGTGAGTGAGCATTGACTTAATTGCTGAACCACAGCAGTCATGGCTCTATTAAGAGGCGAATGCGAATCTAAATCAGTTGGCGCCCCGGCAACAGACACAGCCATGATGAATGCGCAATGTTTCTTTATTTTCTCGAAAATTATTTAAATTTATGTGGCAACGGTGCTTGTAAGTGTAGCGCCCGAGGCTACAAACTTACTTACAAACTTTGTGTGTTAAATGCTAGTGAGGACATTTCTGTGCTCTACAAATTTCATTTTGTTTAGTAATATTACTTAAAAATCGTTGAACTGAACACGAGTTATTTATTCATTCACTAAAACAAAATAAATCCCTGATATTATGACTTTTAAATAAAATTTGATACAGGATTTAAAAAGAAGAGGTTTGTTTCTATTCAAATATATAGATAGCTGATTACTCAATTGGCCTAAGAATTGATATAAAATTAAAGCCATTCACAGGTCTTTTTTGGAAACTTGTGCCCTCATATTTAATTGGAAAACTGGATGATGTCGATAAAAAACTGCGGAAAATGCTGTCACTTAAGGAGCGTGACTGAACATAGTTTGTATTGATTAGATGGAGAAAATCTCAACTACTAACGAAATGTTCATTTATCTAGCTTTGGCCAGAACACCGATCAACTGTTGACCACTAAAAGTTTATGCAGCTGACCTGTTTCTATTCGAAATGCATGCTCAAAAGCGCTTTTCTTGCTTCTCATTTTAAAAACTTAGAATGTAACTATTCTTCCGAAATAAATGTATAACAACTCTTTAATTCTCTTCAAGCCATCAACTTGATGTGTTTCGTTTCCAGTGAACGCTTGAGTTTGCAGAATTGTTTCGAAACCGGAACTGCACATATTTTTCAATAAGTAATGCGATCAGGGCAGCTTATAGTATGTGGTCTTTGCTAATTACCATCAAACGGAAGTTTCGTTAACAATAGGAGTAACAACAACACCATCATTTGCAAATCAATATTAATTGCAGAAACTCATTCAACCATAAATTCATTTAAGCGAGAAACACGCAGCTAAACTTATAGGCGCCTCCCTCAAGGACGCATGTAAGTTGTGGAAGTGGCACGAGGAAATGGGCAGCATGCAGGGCACAAGCAACAACAATAACAACAACAACAATCTGTAATATTTTCACAATTTATGCCGGCTGCCTGTCCGATTTCGCTTGCTGCTTAAAAACTTTTGCAACTTTTGCGAACTGCATTCACGCGGCTTCCTGCGCCGACATCGCTGACGGGCTAGTCCTTTCTCCTCCCTCCCCTTCTTCTATTGCCCAGTGCTGTGCACGGCTTCGCGCTTGTGCTCCGTTTATGTTATGTACTTATTATAAAATAATTAAGTCCTTTAGGAAATTATAGTTTTTTTCGCCCTTGCACAACTTTGCTTTCCTCGTTCGCAATCTGTGCGCTATTTTATTTCCTCTACTATTCTGTTACTTTCTGCTTTGCTGTACTTTTTTTTTCTTCGGTTTTTACCGTAACTTGCGTCATGTTTCGCTTTCGCTTTGCACTGTGATTTCTGTGCTTTTGCTGTGTTGCCATTCCACTCTTTACTTAAGCGACAGGCAAAGGCATTTAATATCTTGTTTGCTTAAATAGAAGAGAAAGGCGCTCGGAAAGGTGCAGAAGCGAGGGGAGCGAGCCAGGAGAAATGCTTCAACAATAATTAAACTAAAAAATTCGCCAAGCATGCTTTTAAATTAACATTTTTGGGCAAACTTTTATTTTAACAGGCAGTTCTTGAACAAGTATTTTAGAACTTGAACGGCATACTTTGAAGATCTACACATTCGATACAAAATGTTAGCATCTACCTTAAATGTTACAAGATATTGTAAATTGTTTGAGCAGCGATGCGGAATCCATGTACCAAGCCATCGAAATTATTCAGAGAACTACCAAAGTATCATGCTTCATTAAAATATAGAGTGTTTAAGAAATATAGAGTGTTAAGAGCGCAGATTGAAGCTGCATTGAATTATACGAAGAACATTTAAAGTTAGGTGGACTATTAAAAAGGAAAATAGTTAAATCAAATTAACATAAAAAGGGTTGGAAATGCTTTCAAGTGTCTATAAATTATCATAATACTAGTACTATTGTTTATAATAATTGAAATGCCACTACATTACGGCTAGTTCATTTTCTCTCACCACAAAACAATCATTTTTCCATAAAGTGCCTTAAGCCAGCTGGAGGCATATTGGAATGTCTCAGCAACTTCTGTTTGCAGACGTGGGACAGGCATTTAAACACTTCAAAAACAATATAAATTCATTCTGAGCAGCACAACGGTGGCCAAACTATAACCATAAGCAATAAAATACGCAGCCCAGATACAGATACAAATACAGCCAACAACAAGAACAACGAAGTCAAGAGAAGCGCATAAATAAAGGCCAACAATTGATACTCTGGTTATAGCCATAGCCATAGCTAAAGCAACGACAGCCAGAGAGGCCATCGAACAAATTGCACGAACTTATACAAGCAAAGTGAGTTGGACACAGATAAATATATATATACAAGTATATATATACACACACATCGACTTTTCACAACAAACATGCCGAAACAAGTGGCGTCGTATGCAACACAGGGGTGGACGGATCGGGGCGTAGAGAAATTGGTGCGTAGCTCCCGATTGCAGAGCCGAAGCAGATTCATTTGAATTGCAAAACAAACACAAAACCGTCCGAGCACGCCGCTCAACTAAACGAGCCTAATCATGTTGTAAATTTGCATAATTTGACATGAGCATGGAAGCGAGGTTCAAGTCCAGAAACAAGCCTGCTCGCCACTAAATATGGTAAATATATATATATATTTATATACAATGTCTCTCTCTCGCTCTAGCTGTATATGAGTGTGTGTGTGTGTGTGTGTTTGCAATTGCCAAAATAATAAGGAAAATGAGCAACAGCACTGAAAATGATTCGCTTGTCCTCGACATTGCATAAATGCAGAAATAGCTCGCAGCATAAATAGAATAGCACGAACAATTGGTTTAGTTTTTATTTCGTAGATAAATTGACATTGAATTATAATTAACACATTATTTCCAGAAAGAATTATAAAATTAGGAGATGCCTAACTATTCGTTAATTAGTTCTAATCGGCTCGAGGTGAAATGTCAAATTAAATAACTGTTTTTAGCGGATAAAAAATATTACTAGTACACTTATTTCAAGATATGTTTATTCACTTAAATATTTGTTTGTAGTGTACATTTTAACGACACTAAATAAATAATAAATAAATAATGTACACATGTAATTGGTATACCTTGGATCTTGTTAGAATATACACTTTGAACATACTTTTTTCTTGCAAATTTATAGGTTGGTAATTGAAATATAATTGTTGAAATAAATAAAATATAATAATAAGCCATTTAAAGCTACAAAATAATTTAATTGCATTAAAGGTAACATAACATTTCCAAGATGATCTGAATTGGTGCAATCTATTCTATAACTCGTAGTCAAATGTCTTTCAAGATCCCGATTAGAGTGAAAAAGATCTGAAGGAGATATTATAAATAACAAATTTTAAATAAAAATGAAAAAACAAAAAAACATGTTTAATATACATTTAAAAAACATTACCAATAGACTCACATTACTTGTTGAAATATTTCTGATTCTGTGATTAGATTTCATTACTTATTACTAAGAGGCAGTTAACTTTATCAAAATATAGAAACTTTGTTATTTTGTGCAGAAAGATCGAGTTTTCTTGTCACATTAAAGGGGCCTGCGTACTACTACTACAAGTATATGTCCCATTACTACTAATATTTATATAAATTTATTACAGAAATTGTCTACAAATTGAAACTAAAATTACAACATTTGTTAGTAAAATAGTTGGTGTATAAACAAGTGTATATAAACCATTCATAATTCTTTACATTATTGTTCTATTAGATATCAGCTTTGATGTCTCGCTTATTAAGTATACGCCCTGGTACTCGTATTCGCTCGCTCTGTGTGGAAACCTAAATATGCAATCATTCCATTTGGGATAAATGGTGCATATGAATGATACTTCAATAGAAATTGACTTTGATAAACACGCTGGAAATAATGATGACTTTTATGAGCTTTGCAAAACTCTAGTATTCAGCTTTGACTAGAAATGTTCAATTAATTTGATTGTGTGTCGTTGAGAACGTGCATTCGTTTCCTATCTAATTGCAATGGAATTGGTTGCGTCTCAAGCTGCAACTTTTTCCCTATAATGAGTTCAAATTGCTTCCAGCCGCTTCTGGCTTAGCTGATTCGAGAAACCAACGCAATCCCACGCATTGCCACAACGTTTGCCTGTCAGCTCGTTCTCTATGTCAAAATGTCTGCACATATTATGACAACTTAATTGAAGGTTATGCCATGCACATTACAAACGTCTCCTCGAAGTGTGTGTGTGTGTGCAATTGAGTGTGTGTGAGTGTGTGTGTGTGAGTGCATCTGGTATTGCATGCATGGACTGGGCATAATCATAAAGTTTTATGCGTGCACGGAGTACGCAGAACGCTGTGCGCTCAATTGCATTTTAATGTGATTATTTTGCAATTAAATTCTTGATTATTGCAACAATTTGCAGTTTTTTATTATTTCCAGCCATGTGATTGCCAACAGTTGTGCAGTAATGTGCAGTAATGCTTAAGTAGAAGAGAGTATACGTTTCAAGGCAATGCAGCTGATTGACAATGCACTGAAGATGGGAGACAATGACGATATGCATATGGAATAAATAAGCATTACCCCATGAGTAGAAATGAGTCAAGTTTTACATGAAGAGGAATAGTATATACTTGTAATATAAGCAGATATACAAATTGAAGCTTATAGTTCTTTGAAAAATGAATAGTATATAGAAAGATGTTCACATTTTTTCTATTATTTAAGTGAAATATTCAATTTGGATTATTTAAATATTTGAATTTATTTATGTATTTTGTGTAAAGACCTTTCATGATCTCCTATCGCAAAAATACAGCCATTTGATTTAGATTTAGAATATACTATATTTCATTTAAAATCTTAAAATATTTATATTGTCACTTTCTACCTTTGCTTCATTGCTTTTCTTTACTTTTAAGAAAAAAGTATAAGCACATATCATGGTTACTTCATAATTAAGTGTGAATTAAAAGTTCTGTACACTATGATGATATCCAAACAGCTGTTTAGCTGTTCAGCTGCCCAGGACTCCGACTAGGGGAATGGGGAGCAAAAAGGACATGCAAGTGTTTGCAGTTTAATGGAATTTTTAATTTTTGCAATGGCCAGCAGCATTTCATGTCCATCCAACCTACAACACTCGAGATTATTAAAAATGTTTGACTCTTATAAAATATGCAGCAACATTTGAAGCGACACATTTTCGCACACGCTATGGGAGATGGAAATGCAAGCTGGAAGTCCAAGTTTCGCCAACTTGGCAGGACAAAGCAAATTAGCGACATGCGCCAACTGATTATTAAAACATGGGCCACCAATCTGTCCCAGCTTTGTAAGTATGGGAACTAAGTGGCCACTATACTTGTAGTAGTGCTGAGTGCGTGATAATTTTCTCGGTTAAGCAAGTCACGCTAATAACTCAAAGGTGTTTGAATTATTTTCATTCTTAAGATAGTTTCTTAAGATACACTCCTAACATAAATTAAACAACTATTAATACACTGAATAAACAATTAATTTGAAATTTCTTAGACCAATACAAAAAGAATAGAATGATACAAAAAATTTTAATTCTACAGGGAAGAAGTTGGGGTCGAATGGGTTGAAGAGTTTATTATTTGAAACCAAGAATAGAGTAGCTCACAAGGTATTTATTTATATAATATATTTTAACTTGTTTTTATTATTATTATTGTTTACTCAAGTGTTATGTGTGCCACGACTAGACAATTCTGTACTAAATAGTTACTAATTAATTTGAGTCTCGTGAATTTAGAAGCTACGAATTGAAATATATAACTCTCTGATGCCGACAACTTTCACGCGCATCTCTAATGTCCGTGCCTCTGGCGCTGGTATGATGTCGCCCATGAGAACAGCAGCTCTACAAGAAATACGAGTCCACTGCCCATCATGGCCAGCAAAAGGGCAAAAAGTGCCGGCGCGAAGTGCTCCAGATCCACCTCAACTTGTGTCGCTTTGATTAGAGAGCAGTCGGGCTTGGGCACAGTCCACAACTTGTCGTTGTATTGCATCAGTCCTGTCTCCCGCAAGAGCAGCACAGCATGGGCCAAATGTTCCCTCCACGGCGAACTCTTCTGCAGTGCAGAGGCAGAGGTATATGGCGCATTGAACATGATCTCCTGTAGCTGACAAAACTCCTGTTCGTCCAGCAATCCAATGAGCAATCGATACATGCGATCTATGGAGGCATGAAAGGCGAAACCACCGGCATGTATTCTATCCGCTCCCTCACTTATGTTCAGAATATTCTTGGCAGGCGCATGACAAATTTTCTTAGTATAGACATCCCTCACCAACCGATTTGAGGTATTAGTGAAGAGCACGAAATTGTACGAAACATTCTCCATGCCAATGTCCAAGCTACTCGCGTAAAGAGTTTGCAGCGAAACAATGCTACGCGGACTATCAGAGAGCATGGATCCTACAATAAAGGCTCCATAGAACTGCATGATCATGAAGCTAAAAATGCAGCTGGCACAAATGAGCAGCCGAGTGGATATCAGCTGAAAGAGCTCCGTGGCTGGTCCTTGCTGCAGATAGGTCTCCAGAATTGTGAACCAGGCGAAAGCGATGCGCACTTCGAGGTGGTTCTGTGACGACTTTGCGGGCTGCAGTCGTCGCTCCTGATGCACATGAAGGAGCAGCAACAACATGCTACAAAGGATAAGGCCGAGCACACAATACCAGACCGTCACACTCAGTGGCTCGAAGAAGATGTTGCGAATATTGTTGCGGCGTGGATGACGAAACAGAAAGTGAATGCTGATGGAAAATAAAATTAATAGTTCGTCATTCGCATTGTATTCATTGTATGTGCATGCTAAGGTAGCCTTAGTCAAATAATTAAAATATATTAATAACTAATGAAAGATTATTTGCTTGAACTCCACACTTTAGAATCCTGCTTTTTGTGAGCTCTCAATGGATAGAATAGGTGCGCTTTCTTTATAGATTGTACTTAATTGCGGATGAGAAAGGCATTTGGTTAGCTTCTGCTACTATAACTTTTGCATTAAATATTTTAAATCTTATTTACTTCAATACTTACAACTGCGTGTGCAACTCGGGTGAGTATTGTATATAGCGCTGCCGATTTGGCACAAAGCGCATAGGACATAAAGCAAAGTCGGCTTTATGGACTATCAGATCGTGCATAACTCCATACCAGCTGCCATTGGGAAGCAATTCCCCCCAATTATCGGTGAAGCGTATGAACAAGCTGTAAGTTCAAGAGAAATTTACAATCCTTAAAAAAGCGCGCTAAATAAAAATCTTTGTCATGAAATTATACTTTTAAGAAAATAAATATTTCTACTTTAGACCCTTAACTAACTTATATTTTTTTGCCCGATTTTGTTTTTAGTAATTTTGTTAAAAATAAAATTAGATCAAAAACATGCCTAACATTGTAGAGCCGCTCCATGTTCCGCAGCAGCTGATAAGTTTTCCGTTGCATAGGATCCAGTTGCATGAGGTCCTTATCATTGGCCAGATATGCCATATTCTCTAATTCCACTGGCTTCTCCAGTAACTATAAATGATAGCCACTGAATAGATTGATTAAACTGAATTCAAATATATACCGCTGTACTGGTGCGTAGTGTTATATTTTCCATATTCCTACGCCTCCGGATCCAGCTGCTCTTGAAAGTGTCCAGCAACTTGTAGCCGTGTTTCAAGGACCACTCTCCTTTGTAGTTGACGCGCAGTGGAGTCTGCTGTCTGTGATTTATCTTGTATACATCATAGAGCAGCCAGCTGGTGCTAAAAGTTCACATATAAATAATAAATAAATGATTTAAAGAATCTAAATATTTGTACCTAACAACACCTATCATATACCAATTGAATTTTGTTGTAAACTTTTAATGATGTTCTTCCACTCACTTGCCCTGTCGTTGCATAGCCACTGTAATATCTGCATTGATGTTAATATTATAGTCGCCCAATTCCTGCTCAATTAATTGGTCGTCTGTAATTGAGCTTTCGATTCCTGTCTTGAGAATAAACCAAGCCTGCGTGTCGTTAAAAAATCCACCAGTTGAGGCAGCATTGTAAACACGCTTTTTATGCTCGTCACTTGGAAAGTATCCCATAAATATACCCGTTCGTGGCGCCCCATAGTAGAAGAGTTCCTCAAATTTCACACTGCCATTTAAATTGAAGAATTGCACGTGATAATTGGCCAATAATTCGCTATAGCTCCGAACTAGAGTAGCGCTGTTGCCGCCACCGGAGCGCACCACCAGCGCATGCCGCAGTTGCTGCGAGCGCAAAAAATCCACAAAAGCTGCAGTCTCATTGGAATTTATGTTTTCAATTTGCACGCCAAATGAAAACACACACAAAATTATAAGAGGCCATAAAATAATTTTCACTTGCAATCTAATCATTTTATACGACCTCCTTGTTGTTATTGTTCCGCGATATTATTTCTTGTATGTATTATTGCTGCTGTCCAAATCCGTTTGTTTGCTTTCCGAGTCATGCAATGCTTTTATAAGCGTACTCATGGATACTATAACATTATAATCATGAATCATCGTGACAAGAAAATTGAAGAAAATTGTGGGCCATAATTTATGCCAATGCTAATGAGCTAATAATAATTATATTGCTGTTTTATTAGAATAACAAATGTGTGCAATATCTGAATGGATTTGCTTTAGATTTAAAACTTGAATTATAAAATTTATGATGAAGAATTAAAATAGTTGAAGTTATATATGAACGGGTTGTATGAAATTACTTTAAGTTTATGGAGTTCCTTTTAAGTTAAAATTATTTTTAAAACAGCCTAGCTGCTTGTTAAAAACGGTGATTAGAGGCGGACTAATATTCAGTTTATAAACACCCGTTTTTTCTAATTATTTGCGAATAATCTTTTTAAATAACAAAGTTTTCTAATGCGATCTGGGAACTTGTAAGTGGGAATGATGTGTTGTTTAACGGTTCTTCAAAAATTCTAAGCCCAATACAAAATAACAGATAACTGAGAGACAGCAATCAGACATCAGACTGTTAAGCTGAGACAACGACTTACAAACGATTCCAATAATTTATCCATGTACTGTAAAAAATCTATATTAGAGAATTGGAATTTATATAATAGTAATAAGCCAGCTGGCCTAAGAATTGTATAAAATAATGTATAATAGGTATACTTGCTCGGTTCTATTAAATGAATTAATATATGCCTAAGTTATTACCGAAATGAAAAATCAGCACATTTTGCAAAAACCTTAAAGTACAGGATATTTCTATACACTTTACTGGCCATTTTACTTAAAGAGTTTCAAGGAGTTGCAGTGGGCAGGTTTAAAAACACATGACACAGATCCAATACGTATAGCGAGACAAAACATTAGGACCGAGAACAGAGAAGCAAAGCTGCCTGCATTAGGTTGACATTATCCGGCCAAAAGTGCAGCGGACGGAAGCGTCGAGCTGCGAGTAACGACAGCAACGCGTGTAAACAGCGGACTCATCGTGCTTTTCCCCTTCCAGCTACCACCCCCCCTCACACGCCTCTCCAGTGTGTCTGTCTATGTTTGTATGTGTGTGTGAGTGTGAGCGTGTGTGCGCGCCTGTGTGTTTGGGGCAACTTGAAAGCAAATCCTGCAGCTTGCAACTTAATTTCATAGCACGCGACATTGGCGTCGTCGTCGTCGTTCTTGTTGTTGGCATCGCCTGAAGGCAACTTCATTTCGGGCAATTTGCTGCGCGGCTTCACGTGCAGGACCAGAACTTTAAGAGCGTGTCGAAATTAAAAAGGACTTCCATTCAATTTGCTGCAAAGCTTTTGTCTTTCCGCGTTATGCCCGCATCGCACGCATAATAAATAATCCCTGGCGTTTATAAGAAAGCGTATTTGAGCTTCAAATTTAAAATATATGAGAATGCAAACAAAGTTGAGGGAAATCTATTTTTTTTTTTAATAAAAACATAGCATTAAATTTCCAAAAATAAAATATTTTCATTAAATTGTTAAAAAGAAATAATTTAAATTTTACTTTATATTTTATAATATTTTTTTATAAATAAATTGTCAGATATGATAACTTTTGATTTCATATAATTTGTTTTTGAATAATATTATATATATTTTTTATATTGATGTTGTATTTATTCGAAACGAGCGCAATTATTTTGGTTTAGCTTAGAGTAGTGGCTAGTCTTCTGAAGTCATTAATTGCCTTCAAACATCTTCAAATAAGCCGAAATACCTTTGACTTTTTGGCAATGTAGATCCTTCAGTTGAGACTGTAGAGTCAAATATATTTAATGCTAAGTAGTTGAAAAACAATGAGATAGGTCTTTCTATCTATCTATCTATTTGAACATAAGAGCGCTTTCGCTTCATTTCTTCGACCGTATCTCTCTTCCTGTTTTAAAGATCGTATTAAGTTTGTTATGCTGTTGGCGTTAATGGCACGACAAGGCAACATTTTCTGCAAGGCCACATCCAAAAGTGCAGCAAAAACACAGCAGCAGCAACAAAACAACAACAACGCTAAGCACTGCAACAAAGACTACAGATACTCGCTTTAAATGTAGTCGTAGCTGGCTGTAATGACAAAAATAGGGAAATTTCAGCATTTTATCGCAGATTTCGCCATCGAAGCTGCGCGTTGCATATAAAGCGAGCAGCCACTTTACCAGAGATCCATGCTCTTGCCACACGTTGCAGGTGCATCGTCTTTTTGCCACAGTTTTTGCACATCGGGGCTGGAATGTTTGCCATTAAAACGACAGCACACATATCGGCCAAAATAAACGCACACGCGCCGAAAGCGCAGGCAACGTTTAAATATTTCTGTTAAAATTTTGCGCCACCTTTTTGAATTTTATTTTCATTTGTTTTCCACTTTTTTGCATTCTTTTTTTGACATTTTGTCACACATGTCAGACACCGTTCTTGCGTGTCGCGTGTGTGGCGTGCAAAAACATCGTGACACAAAAAAGGAAAGCTATATACAAGTACATATATAAAGTAAAGTTTCGTTTAATTTGCTGTGCAAAAAATAACCGCCCACCCCTATTTTCACGAAACTCCTGCTGGCGACATTTTCTTTGCTCCTTCTGTTTAAGCTACGAGGCGCCTGAAAGCTAATGAGTGACTTGATCTCCGTCTTGTTAATACTTTGTGAGTCCTGCATGTGTTGGCAGTTTATAAATTTACAATAATCTGATGCTATATGCTTCTTGGTACTGAATTGTAGACAAAATATAATATACATCACGAATAGCTATCGTTATTAATAGAAAAATAGGATTGCCATAGAAACTAACTTAATTGAACGGTAAATTCAATTGAAAATGTCAACGAAATTAGGGACGGCAGTAATGTATTGAAATAATTTATATTCTTTTAACATTACATGTTAATACGAATAGAATACAAAATATGAATTTTTTTCGTGTTGTGTTTCAAAATACCTTCAGGAATCTATGGCTCACTTATGCCAAGGTTGGACGATAATAATTTTACGTAGAGAAAAGAAGACAAATCGAGCCATTTCACAGCCGGAACTATCATAGAAAGCGCTGGATAACCCCCAAGTTATAGTGATTGGTCGACCCGAATCGCACGTGTTGTCTCTGCTGACGCCTATGTCCCAGAGCCTCAGCCACAGCTCATGCTCGTTTGAGGCCACCATCAGGACTATATGACTAATAATTTACATTTCTACAGTACCTTCTGGAACACCCGCTCGAATATTGTACATGGCGGGCTAACTCTTACATAGACGGCTATGAAGGAGATAAAATTATTAATTTGGAACGCGTAAAATATTGACATGAAAACATTTTGAATTGTTTTGAGTTATTAGACTGCAGTTCAGAGGAGATCTCGCCTCTAAGTTCAGTTGCGCTATATTCAAGTTCTTAATATTGAAACAAAGTGCACTTAAGCAACCTTTTAACAAATAGCTTTTCTAATGAATAACAATATTTTAACAACAACAAAACCAGTATTATATTTTTTTATTATTTTTGAAATGGTTATTGTGTTTCAGTTCCTTTTTTGCTGTCATCGCCTTCATCAAATCAGAGGTCACATTTGAGTCATGACAAAATTGTAATTTATTTTCGCCCAGGAACGGAAATCATTATAATAATGATTATGTTGAATGTTGTTGAATGATCGTTATTATTGTTTTTATTTCTTGTCGTGTTCCCTGCGACAATTATTTTTGTATACTTCAACGGCTAGCATTTTAATTGTAGGTAGAAATGCCAGCAAGCGACAAAACATCGCAAGAAGTGCCCAACAGCTTACGGAAGAATAAAAATGGCGTTCCCAAAACAACAGAAAAAATAGCCGAAAGCTATGGTCGTGCTACGAGTATGAAACAAATCCCTCAAAACGATTTCAAGAGTCGGCGACGTTGAACGACGCTCCGTGTGCGACTTTCGCTTTTTTCGTCCGCCGCTTCAGCGGAATAAAACAAAAAGACCAGAAGCATTAAAAATTCTCTATTAAATGAGCAAACAAAAGAAACATCAAATGTGTTGCCATGTTGAAAACCAAAACTAAATGGAAAAGCATCGCAGCAAATGTAATAAAGCTGCTAGAAATACACAGAAAATTCATAATGTTATTCATTTAATAGATGCAAGAAGAAGTGGAATATGCTTTAGTTTGACTTTTTCCTTTAACATTTGCATTTCTATCCATGTTATTCCAATACTTCAATTATCAAGGAAGTTATAAGCATTTTTCCATGTTGTGTTAAAGGTTTAATTCAGCGTTTTTTGTACATATATGTATTTTTTTAATAAATTTAAAATAACAAGAAGACAAACAAATATGCAATCTACAAGTATTACTATGAAAAGTCAATTGACATATTCCATGAATAATTTTTCAAACATCGATTTAACATTTGCAATTCTATGCAATACTTCAATTATCAAGGAAGTTATAAGCAGTTTTCCATGTTGTGTTAAATTCAGCGTTTTTTGTACATATATTTTTTAATAAATTTAAAATAACAAGAAGACAAACAAATATGCAATTGAGTTTGAAATCACGAGCTCGAATTCGACTTAAGTATTTAGCATCAAATTACTGAATTGCATTGAAGAATATTCCAATTGGTATACATTGATTATCTTTATGCTTGTGAGCCAAAATTACTTATTTAGTCAAAATAATTTATAATGTTAAACGACTAAACTACTTTACATATTTTGTTTTTCGCTGCCCCCGGAGGCCGTCATCTTTGATTATTTCCGGCATTTCATTACATATTTTTAGCGTTTCTTTTCGTCTTCACTATTTAAGTCAAGAACGAAAACAAATTCTTCCATTCCTCAGTTGTTGGATGCTAGCATAAAGTCAACTCATTATGAAATTACTGGTGAAAACTTAGTGCCAAACGGAAAA